GATACACACTCAGAGTAACATGACAAATATCATATTCACCTGAGTGCACAGCACCAACACAGAGAGGGTCGTGTTGCAGGATTACACAGGTATCGAGGGAACTAGATTCTGTTCCGAAATATCACTTACTCGAACCGTCCTGACCGCGTAGCTCAGTTGGAAGAGCATTGGGCTAGTATTCCAAAGGTCGTAGGTTCGAATCCCACCGTGGCCGGGCATATTTTTCAAGCTCGCCCGGTGTGGATACACACTCAGAGTAACATCACAAATATCATATTCACCTGAGTGCACAGCACCAACACAGAGAGGGTCGTTCTACAAAGTAGTTATTAATTGTATTTGCTATGTTGATATCACCTGTAATATTTTGGTCTCCAAATTTAATGTTATTGATCGTCTGAGTTTTGACCGTTTTGTGGTTTAGCAGTTGTTTATGTGAATCCAGTTTTCTTTGCAATTTTTGCTGTTTTCGAGATTGGTTCTAAAGTAGTGAGTTTTTGCATTGCTAATAAGTTTAGTTACTTTGTTTTTACATTTTTTGTATGAACTATGAAAGGCAGAGGAATTTAACATGACTGCTTTCTTTTTTAAGTAGTCTCTGTGAAAGCGCAGTTTTTTAATTTCATCAGTCATCCACGGTTGTCGGTCACTTCTCACTTTTCTCAATCGTATAGGAGCATTTATATCAGCTATCAGTAGAAAAATTCTGTTCCATTCCTGTAGGGCCGTATTTGGATCTGAATGTTCATTAATATGTAGTAAAGCTTGTTTTAAATCGTTTTGGAATTTCGCATTATTTAGTTTATGGTATTGCCTTGTTTCAATAATTTTGGGTTTTTGTTTACATATTCCGACCTTTCTACAAGTATAGACTAGGTTGTGGTCGCTTATACCTAGCTCAACAACGTCCGTTGTAGCGGTTTTTGGGTCGTCAGTTTTACAAATTATTAAATCTAAGAGCGTCTTCGTTGATTCTGTTGTTCTAGTAGGCTTTTTAATAAGTTGAGACAATTGATATGTGTTTAGTAATTCTTTAAGCCTTTTTGCCTTACTATTCTCGGTCTCACTGGGCATTAAATCTATATTAAAGTCTCCAGTTATTATAATTTCTTTATTTTCTGTGTCAATGTTTTGAAGAAAGATTTCAAAAGAGTCGGGAATCTCAGAATTGGAGTTTGGTGGTCGGTACCACGTCGAAATGAGTATTGGCTTGGCCGAGGGGCAATTCACTCCAAAAATCCCGTACACTTCGTCAAAAAATCCGGAAAAAATCCAGAAAAAATCCATGAAATCCTCAAAATCCTGTGAATCCATCAAAATCCAAAAAAATCCTTTAAAAACCACAGAAATCCTTCAAAAATCCACAGAAATCCTTAAAAATCCTTAAAAAATCCGCAAATCCACAAAAAATATATGAAGTACTTGGTGTAATTTACTCGTAAAGGTTCTTTGTGGTTCTTTTCCACGTTAAAAATGGCGGACAGCGAAAGCTAAACGCTTATCGTGATCGCCAGGGGCGTGGCGAACGATTCCAGATTGGGGGGGTGGGCGTCATACCATAATGACCAACTTTTTCAATGAAAATGACCAACGTTTTCGTGTTTAAAAAATTTTTTCTCGAAATTTTTTTTGGCGACCTCCTCTCCCCCCCCTTTTTGGATTTTCTAAAATTTTTGTAAATAATATAAGATTTCGTTTAATATTTAAATAATTCCTTTGACCAACTTTTCAAAAATTTTGACCAACTTTTCAAAAATTTTGACCAACTTTTCAAAGTTCAGAATTATTG